TCACAGTTCTACACTGTATAGCACACAATTTTGCAAAATTCATCTCATAATAGTCCTATTTTATCAATTTATTGTCATTAATTCAACGATGAACAAATAAACAAATTAATGCCTTGTTTTACGTTTTATGTTAGTGGCGGCGGGTGTCAACTGTAATTTAATTTGCCCTACATATTCTGAACTTTACAATACCTACATATTTATTGGTTCGGTAATGATACTTTTATGGAACTTAATAAAACAACCCCAACTAAACAACAATCACACCTGACATTTGCACATGTCACATGAATTTTAATGGTTATGGAATATTTTACAAAAATATACTCTTAAAACTGAAAACGGAGGTTGAATTTAATTTAAGTGTATTTCCTGAAATCACGGCTTCAAATTTTTTGAGGGGTAATTATCTTTTTAACCCTTAGAATATACTTCCATAAATGCGTGAAGAGAAAAAATGTTTTTGGAAAAGATTCGAGAGAGAATTTTGGTTTTTGAAATTTGGAAATATTGGACCAATGCGTTAAAATTATACGCGCTCCATCGGACTGAAACGAATTAATTATAAGTAATTATTTTATATTTTACTTCTGACGAATTTTGAAAGCGTTTATTTTCAAGCTGTGCCTTGTTATAACAAGTACGTAATTATAAAAATTGGGGAAATATTTCATGAATAGTTGCAGTGTACAAAACGTGACTTTGAGACAAAATTATGGCTTCATACAAAAGGCTTTTAATCAAATTCCGCAGTAGTTTAGTTAAATTTCACATTTTAACTGGCTGCACACAAACACCCATTGCTTTATATTTAATAAATTAAAGTGGCTACGTGGAAATTAATAATTTGTTAAATATGTTAAAGTGAATTGTCCTCACCTGTGACAATTAAGTAGGTATTTTTATTTCAAGAATATTTAGTCCTTGCGCAGACGTTTAGGTTTCTAAGCATAATTATTTTACAAATCGTCTGATTTCAAATGGACAGATGAACGTTAAAACAGGCCAACATTTTTTTTCTACTTCACTGTCTTTTACTGTTTCTTTCAAGATAATAAAAATTTGTTGTTAGGTACACATTTCTTCAAACGGTTCTTCTAATGTAGGACAGTAATTCCACTGTCAGGAGATTAGAGTTGGGGTGTCTACCTGGCTGAGACTTTTAGCAGTGTCTTTTCTTCGTCCCTGATCGTAGACACGGTTCATTGACCATAAACTTCCCTTTCAACAACGCTCTTATACTTATACAGAAAATTTTAATTTTATTTCATTCAGTCTGTGCTACATAATAACTATACTCAAGCGTTTTGCAACAATAAATAATTTAATATTTTTGTTAACCAACTCTGTGACAGCATAATTGTTTTTCAACGTGCTGAACCAACATATATTACGAAATTGTTGTTTTTAACCAAACAAGACTAAAAGAATATTTCATCAAGCAATCATTAAAAAATCCGTGCTTACATTTTCGCTCTCCCACTCGTCTCCCGTAACACGAAAACACAAACGCAGATTTATACCTGCATGTGCACAAACCCAAACACATCAATCATATCAAAACATCCAGATTTATGTAAAATTGACATCAAAATTTATCAATTTTACAACATATTATTTACTCAAGAACGTAGAGCATCCAAACAGCTTAACAACGCAGCAAATTTATTTATTTACGTAAAATTTCTGATTCACTCCGTCAGCAATTTTTTCACATGTTCTGTAAATATTTGCATTTTTTTCGCGGCTTGCTGTTTACCCATATAACAAACCCACATTGATTACTGATAAATATATGTGCATTTTTGCTGCCACTAGCTTATTCCGACAACAGCATTTTTCCGCCAACGTTTTCAATGTGTTAAAACCAACAGGGCCAATTTTAATATTTGCACAATAGGAAAAATATCAATTATCCAGAAACGTGGAAGCGTTAAATACAAACAAGTCAGCTGCGTTCTGCAGGGAATTGCATTTTGTGTGCATATGAAATGTTGCAATATTTACCTGTTTTGTTTAACGGCGAAAGTTTTTTATTTTTAAATGAAAGCTCGTACTGCCACCGCGCGATTTAATATGTTGTGTATGGATACGCTATACCTGACAGGTTGGGATCATTTAATTTTGGCCCACTTCAAAAATATAAAAAATAAAATAATGTTACTTGGCAGAGGTTGATGCGGAACGGAAAAGATTCGGGACGTATGAATTCTTTATTATTTTTTAAAAAACAATATCTGAGGCAATAAAGTATAATTTACTGGCGGCTGTGGGCGGGGAGGTTAGAGCGGTAATTTAATATCTTCTGTACAAGTTATTGTATATTGCTGAAATTTTAAGTCGTCAGTTTTTTTAATTTGCTACAATGTAGACGGCATATATTCGTTTCGAATATTATAATTAAGCGTCCGGCATTTTTCTTTGATGTGGTAAGAACTATCTTTGGACTAAAGATTTTGTCCCTTCTTTAAACTGCACGAGCATTATAGACAATAAGTTAATCGAGAGTAGCTCCTATAAAATAACTATCAAAATTAATGATTTACACGCATAATATCCAATTAATCAAAATTTTTTACGACATAATGTAGTAATTACCATAAAAATAGTTTTATTATTAACACCTTATTAGGAAGTAAAACTAATTATAGAGTGATAGAAAACTATAAATAATTTAACACGCCGGCATAAAATTAATATTATAATTCATCATAATTACATGAATTAGGACGACATGGACGTTCCTGATGGGGAAGGAAATTTCAATACAGATTGATATATTCGCGCACCGGGATAATTAAAAATTGATTCGTAAGGCCAACGACATATTATAAATAGATCATACCCTTTCGCGTCTTTTCCATGGTTTAATGTTTATAATAAATCACGTCAGTTGCGTCATATGCACAATTTACTGCCATTGTTGAACGTAACTCCCTCATTTTAACTTAAGCGCTCTAAAATAAATTACGTGAAAAGTTGAGATTATCTTTGCGTTTCCTGCCATTAAAGAAATTAAATAATCGTTTTTTTCGCCATGCAATAGTGCAATAAAAATAGTTTTACGCGTTATAAGGCGGTGTCCATTTCACGGGAGAAATATGGCCACACATAATTTCCTTGACCATCGTCTAATCACTAACCCATTAGACCCGCACAGCGAATAGTTCGTACACAATATAAGCGTTTCTTAATTCGTTGGGCCCAGATACCTGCCCCAAAATTTATCTAATAACGATAATTGTTCGCCACTTATTGCCCTAAACGTTTAAATTTAAAAACGAAATTATGTGTTTAAGCTATTAGGTTTCAGATATGAAAATAATTCATCTTGTACGCCGAAAAACTATAATTATAGCACAATGGACAAGACACGGAAAAATAAATGATGATTGAATAGAAATGTCTGTTACGTAAATAAAATATGAATTACAACGTCGCCGTTTTTTTTTGCGATGATTACCGACGTGGATTTGGTTAATCTCGAAAGGGTTAACAGATTATGTTTATTTAATTTCGGAAATTCTTAATTTGTACCGTCGGTATCACGTGAAACGTGCAAAAAACTAAAGCTTATCGTGTTAATTGAAATTAGTTTTAATATCCATCAGTAAAGGATTGTGAAATACAGTGTTTCTTATTTTAGTTCTTAATAGCTTGAAAATTTATAATTTATAATTTTAAAATAACATTGTATTGTCTTATTTTTGCCACCAATAAAGAAATAAACTCAAATATTTTTTTAATCTTTTTTACTTTAAAAGTATGATACGATAATAAATGATAAAAAAGTGTTTTATACCAAATAGGGGATGGTTATCGTTAATTTCTGATTTTATTGCTTGGGTAAAATCAGAAGAGTGTTCATAAGTGATTATTCAATTTTTTTCAATAATTTATTAGTAATGAAATTATGAATGTAATATAAATCACATAAAATAGTTCCTAAATGGAATAAAATGTGCCTTTTATCCGCTAATTAACGATATATGTAGATATAAAAAATATAACTCATGCTCTTGTATGTAAATTTATATTTTAATCACATTTCAGTGTTTCAATACAGACATTTTTTTAATACTCTATATTTCACCTTTTTTTTTTGTTGTGGTTTATTTAATTTTATTTAATCTATATTATTTATACATATTTTTTTTTAATAAAATACGAAAAAATAATAAAACTTTATGACATTTTTTTTGTTAAACGGAATTTACGTGGTTAATAGGAGAAGCATAACGAGAAACAGTTTATGTGTGTTATAGTTTTAAAATAACATCATATTGTCATATTTTTACCACCAATAAATTTTAATCGATTGTAGTATTTGTTAAGTCTGATAATATAATAAATGGTAAAAACGTGTTTTAAACCGAATATGGGATGGTTGTCTTTAATTTCTGATTTTATTGGTACGGTAAAAGTAGAAGTAAGTTCATAAGTGGTTATTCCAATTTTTCTAGTAATTATTAGAAAATTATTAATGTAATATAAATCTCACAAAATTCGTTCCTAAATGGAATAAAATGTGCCTTTTATGGACTAATTAAAACAACTTATTTATGTATTAAATTTATATTCTAGTCACACTTCAATGTTCCAATACAGAAATTATTTTGTTACTATTCTATATTTGGTCTTTTTTTTGTTGCCTTTTATTTAATTTTATGTTATTTACACGTATTTTGTCACATAATATGAATAAAATAAATTAACGTGTTTAAATAAATTTTATAACGACGTATATTATAGTTTTAGAATTGTATTATGTTGTCTTAATTTTATCAGTATTAAAAAAATTAAATGAAATAATTTTTTTCGCGTTTTTAAGTGATTTTTGTCTGATCGTCTGCCGAGTTAATTGTTAAAATTGCGTCTCCGCGAGTCCGACTCCAGCAGGTAGCGCCCTCCCGTCGGCGGCAACGTCTCGAACTACCCGAGCGCTTGCGCCAGCCGTGAAACTTGAACATTTCTGTATATACCGCAGTAGCGCGCCGAAGATCTCCAGTGTTATTTCGAATACTGTAGAGGCAGGTTCGCATGAGCAACCCGTACGAACCCAAGTTGAACTCCTTCGCGTTCGTCCGGTGTAAAGAGTGACTGTGATATGACCGCGCACTGACTAACTCAAACGCCAGTTTTTCGAAACAGTGAAATGGTCCGACTAAAGTAAAAAAAAAACTCGCGATGTGGCTGCAGCTGGTGCTGAACTTGGTGTTCTTCGCGACTTCCTCTCTCGCGAGCCGCTTCGACGGGCCCGAGGGCTGCTCCTGGCTCCCGGACAACAACGACACGTCTTCGTCGAAGTTTGCGGTGACGTGCCGAGTGCGGACTTTGGACGGCAGCGGCGCCAACATCAGCGCTTTGCCCGCCGAAATCACCTCGAAGTTGCGCATCTTCTGCAGCGATGTGTTGTTCTTCGAAAGCGCGCTTCCCACGCAAGGTTTGCAGCGGCTGCACGAGCTCGAGGAGCTGCAGGTCGCCAGCTGCAAGCTCCTGGCCGTCGAGCCCAACTCGCTGAAAGGGCTGTATAATCTGAAGAGGCTGACCGTCAACACGCACAACGCAGACTGGGGCCCGGGAAAGGCGCTGGACATCAACGCCGACAGTCTGGCCGGGCTGAAGGAGCTGCAGGTGTTGGATCTGGGCTACAACAACATCCGGGCTATAGTCGACGGCACCTTCTGCGATCTCGCCAATCTGCAAACGCTGAATCTCACCAGAAATCGAATCAAGAGTCCGGAGCGATTCGGGTTTAATTTGCCCGAGTGTAGCAACAGTGAACTGCAGAACTTAGATTTGTCGTTTAACGAACTAAGGGCGCTGACTGAGAATTCCGGCTTTTCGAGACTTCGACGGCTGCAACAGCTCGACTTGAAGAACAATAACATCAGCGATATTTCCGGGGAGGCCTTGGCCGGATTAGTGTCGTTGCGAATACTGAATTTGGCGAACAATAAAATCGAGAGCCTTCCGGTGGGGCTGCTGGCCGGAACGCGAGAGCTCCGCGAGATCCATCTCCAAAATAATTCGTTGTTTTCGCTGGCCAAGGGCCTGTTTCACCGACTCGAACAACTGTTGATCCTCGACTTGTCGGGCAATCAACTCACCAGCAATCATGTGGATGCCAGAACATTCGCAGGTCTTATTCGTCTCATCGTTTTAAATTTGTCGCACAACGCTTTGACGCGCATCGACAGCAAAACCTTCAAAGATCTGTATTTCCTCCAAATATTGGATCTGAGGAATAACTCGATCGGCTTTGTTGAAGACAACGCTTTTATTCCTCTCTACAATTTACACACTCTGAATCTGGCCGAAAACCGTCTCAACACCATCGGCCCGCTATTATTCAACGGCTTGTTCGTGCTCAGCAAACTCACTCTGAACAATAATTTGGTGGTAAGCATCGATTCGACAGCTTTTCGTAATTGCTCCGCCCTGAAAGAGCTCGATCTCAGTTCGAACGCCTTGCAAGAAGTGCCCGACGCGCTGAAAGAGCTGTCCTTCCTGAAAACGCTAGACCTAGGCGAAAACCAAATCAGCGAGTTCCGTAACGGTTCGTTCAAAAATCTGAACCAACTCACGGGGTTGAGGCTCATCGACAACAATATCGGAAACTTAACCCGGGGGATGTTGTGGGATTTGCCGAGCTTACAAGTGCTTAATCTCGCCAAAAACAAAATTCAAAGCATCGAGAGAGGAACTTTCGAAAGAAATACGCAACTCGAAGCCATCCGCCTCGACGAGAATTTTCTGACGGACATTAACGGTGTGTTCGCGACACTCGCGAGTTTGTTGTGGTTGAACTTATCGGACAATCATCTAGTGTGGTTCGATTACGCGTTTATTCCGAGTAATCTCAAGTGGCTCGATATCCATCGTAATTTTATCGAGCATTTGGGGAATTATTACAAGATCCAGGACGAGATTCGGGTTAAAACGTTAGATGCTAGTCATAACCGAATTACGGAACTGTCTCCGATGTCGATTCCGAATAGTGTCGAATTGGTGTTCATCAACAACAATTTCATCAAGACGGTACAGCCGAACACGTTCCTGGATAAAAGGAGTCTGGCTCGGGTGGACATGTATGCGAACGATTTGGTGAATTTGGACATGAATGCGCTGAGATTGTCGCCGGTGCCGCCGAACCGGTCTCTGCCCGAGGTCTACCTGGGGGGCAACCCCTTTCACTGCGACTGCACCATGGAGTGGTTGCACCCGATGAATAACATGTCCGCTTCCAGACAATACCCGCGAGTGATGGACCTAGACAACGTCATGTGCAAAATGACGCACTCTCGGGGGATGTCGCACATGTCCTTGACCAGAGCGAAACCCAGCGATTTCTTGTGCACTTACGAGACTCACTGTTTCGCCCTGTGTCACTGCTGCGATTTCGATGCCTGCGATTGCGAGATGACCTGTCCGAATAATTGTTCCTGTTATCACGACCAGACCTGGAACACCAACGTCGTTGACTGTTCCGGCCAGAACGCCAACGAGATCCCGCACAGAATTCCCATGGACGCCACGGAAGTGTACTTGGACGGTAACGACTTGAAAGAGCTGCAGAATCACGTTTTCATCGGCCGAAAAAATATGCGAGTGTTGTACGTGAACAACAGCGGCATCGAAACGATCCAAAATAGCACTTTCAACGGTGTGCACATGCTGCAGAAGTTGCATCTCGAGGACAATAAAATCTACTCGTTGGAAGGGTACGAGTTCGAACATTTATCGAATTTAAAGGAACTGTATCTGCAGAATAACGTGATTTCGCACATTGGGAATAAGACCCTCGAGCCGTTAAGGAGCTTGGAGATGTTGCGATTGGACGGTAATAAATTGGTGGTGTTTCCGGTGTGGCAGTTGTCGTCGAATTCCCGTTTATCCGAGATAAGTTTGGCGAATAATCGGTGGTCGTGCCGGTGCAAGTTCCTCCAGGAGTTCACCGCGTGGGTGGGCGACAACGCCCCCAAGATCGTCGACAGTGCCGCGATCCAGTGCTACAACGGCGAGTCGTCGCCGCCGCAGCGCCGCGACCTCGACTTCAACAGCACCGCGTGCAGTGATTTTTACGCCGGCAGTTCCGTCATCGACTCCATGCTGGTCTCGGACTACTGGAAGATGGTCGTGGTGACGCTGTGCATCGTGATTCTGCTCCTTCTGGGCGTCGTCCTCTGGTTCGTGTTCCGCGACCCGGTGCGAGTGTGGCTGTATTCGCGCTACGGTATCAGACTGTGCAGTTTCCGTGCCGCCGCCGCCAAGCAGTACGAGGACCGGGACAAACTCTATGACGGGTTCGTGTGCTACAGCCCCAAGGACGAGGAGTGGGTGGTGCAGGCCCTCGCCGCCGAGCTGGAGTCCGGCTTCCAGCTGTGCCTGCACTACCGCGACTTACCGCACGCCGCCTACCTGCAGCACGCCGCCCCCGCCGTGCTGGAGGCGGCCGAGGCCAGCCGCCGCGTCATCATCGTCCTCACACGCAACTTCCTGCAGACGGAGTGGTCACGCTTCGAGCTGCGCCAGGCCCTGCACGAGGCCCTCAAGGGCCGCGTCTTCAAGCTGGTGGTCCTCGAGGAAGGGCCGCTGCCGGAGGCCGAGTTGGAGCCCGAGCTGCGGCCGTATCTGAAGACGGGCAACCGGGTGCGCTGGGGTGAGAAGAGGTTCTGGGAGAAGCTGAGGTATGCGATGCCGTCGGGCGAGCCGAGGGGGAAGATCAACGCCAATTACCGCCGCAACATCAACAATTACACGATCGACTCGAGGGTGGTGGCCAACGGCACCCAGAGCCACACGTACCCGGAGAAGATCAAGCCGCAGGGTCCGCCCTCGCCAGGTATGCAGATGTTCCCGCCGCCGGCGTATTCGGCGGCCGGGGCGCCCCACGAAACCGACGACGCCAACTACTCCTCGGCGACGACGGCCACGCCGTCCCCCAGGCCCATGCGGCGGGCGCAGGAACCGCGGCCCATCTCCGATCACATCTATTCCAGCATCGATTCCGACTACAGCACCCTGGAGCGTGGGGGCGGGGGGTCCGGCAGGAGAGGTCCGCCATGGAGGCCCCACGTCATGATGCAGACTGCAGGCGTCAACAACGGCGGCCAGGCCTATCTCGTGTGATAACTTAACTGACTGACTAGGTATACATAAAGACTCGTACTGAACAATATTTAAAAGCATAATGACAAACTTTTGAGTCGAAAACGTGTAATTTTATTGTTTGTATTATTTTTGTACATTACCTGTAAATAGATAAATATTTATTTGTTTATTAATTTTTTTTTGTATCATTTTGTGTATATTTTTTACGACTTGCAAAACGAATTATTACAATAAATGCGATGTGAAATTTACCGGCTGTGTTTGAATGAAACTGCAGTGCGGTGGTTCTCTTCCCTCGATTTTCACCAAACCAATGAATAGGTGAGTGCCTATATGTTGTCGAGTCCGAGTGTTATTGATCATCTGTTTAACGAACACACTCGTGTGTACTACCAAAAGCACATTCCCGAACTGTGTTTCCACCTTTTTTTTTTTCGCCACTGAAGATGATAAAAAATTAGAAGACATAATTTCTCATTAGCTATGCAACAAGTAAGTATAATTTTCTACTTAATCAAGCTTATTTGTGACATCCTATTATTCATAAATACTTCATGATTTACTGTGCTAATACCTATTAATTTTTCACTCATTTTTAATCGCTACAATTAATAACCTTTAAAAATTTGTCACAGCGATTTTCAGAAACTCCATTTCCCATTAACCGAAATGGAATTCTTTCATTCGGGTTTCAAATTACGCCGTTTTTCAATCATTTAACATGCGAACGTTATTTGATTACGGTAAATTATTTCGAAAAAGCTCAAATATTGTTAAATAATATCTGACCAGTAAACTGTCCAAATGCAATTACGTAAAATAAAATCGGTGTCAACAATATTGACATAAAGTAATTTATTTCACTGTATTTACTAGAGCTCCCTCAATATTAATAGAATTTTGGTTTTCAGTTCTTTGCAATGCACAACGTATTCATTTCTGTATCTTTAAATTCCCATTTAAATTTAAGTCAATTTGATGCCACGTGCCCGCTTTCTAAAAATGCGAAATTAAATGTGACTTCCAGAAATAAACTTTCCGCTGAATACATCCCTCTGCAGAATTAATTAAACTTAAAGAAGCTTGCCTGAACTGAAAAGCATTTCAGTTCAACAAATGTTGTATAACGTTAGAAAACTAATTCGTTTAAGGAGGCAGTTTAGAAAATAAAAAATATTCCTTGCATGTTTAAAAAAAAAACAGACGACTTCCAAATTAAGAACAAAAAATTATACAAGTATACCCTTTAAAATAGCTGTCTATTTATATGTATATTAATGCACATTTTAACAAAGAACAAAAATTTATGTAATTATTCTAAAATCTAATTGTTTTTTGTTCCGTTGAAACTAGGGGTAATTTGATATATATACTATCAGATATCCGGTGCTATACGATAAAATTTAAAAATGCTAATAAAAATTCAAATTTGTGATTTGAAAACGAAAGTAGGAGCCCTTAACCAGCTGTTTTCACAAAAACTATTTTATTTATGTTTGTGATAATTTTACTAAACATGAAAATGCAGGTCTTGTCACTACAGCTAGGAGCTTTTTACCTGGTAGGTAGGTAGGTCACACGTGACATTTTGATAAACTATACACCTGCATCTGATAAAACAAACAGTTTCAGCGAAAGAAAAAGTAAAGGGGTGTCAACACATGGCATTCGAATGTGGGTATCAGAAGGTCAAAGTTGAAGCTCAGTTCACACATTTAATTTTTTTTTCACCAGCCCACAACTTTGTGTAACTCGGTCGTTAATTTGTAACCCTGTGTTAATTTAAACATTTTATTTGCGCCGTATAATATGTTAAATAAAAACCGTGTTTATATTGTTTTCTCCAAAATTATAATCGCCACAACACAACAGTTGTGGTTAATAAATTCTCGAAACGACCCTCGTTATTTTAAAGTCCGAACACTTTTGTTTTAGTTTTTGTGTTATATAGAATGACTGGTCGAATTGGAAGTTCTAAATTTTAATTCAGAACATCACTTCGAACAAAGTACAAAAGCCGAATTTGTAAAACGTAGGGGTCGGGGGCATTCACATCACCCAAAAAATTATCTAATTACCATTCAATTGACACACACTGTCGAAGTTTGTGGTCGGTGTTCATTGTATACGAAACAGAAATGAAAAATGAGTCTGTAATTATTAATGACGCAGAAGTTTGGCTATGGGAAGAAACCAGGATCGAAGAATATGTAAATTTAAAATGTTTTACTAAATTATAAAAATGATCATAGATTTATTGTAAAATTAGTTTGAAAAGGTGCCAGAATATACAAAGCTTCTGAAAGATGAACGGAGAAAACATTTTTCCATTTATACAACATACATATGCAATTATGATTTTGCAGCTATGTTAAATAATTACAAACTCAGATTGAAGTGAAAAGAAATAATTTATACATTCTGACAAATATCGTAACTAGAACTTTGACAACTTCATTAAAAAGGTAATCAATATTATGAATAATGCATTTCTGCACAAATATGTCTTTCTGTCTTATTCGGTTCATTTGTGTGAGGTAATGAATAGCATTATCGCATCGTTGGGATTCGTTGGATAATGTTCTATTAACGCACCCAGATTTTCTCATTTATTTAAACCATTTTACAAAAGTTGTGACGTTTTAGATAAAATTTTGCAAGTTACACATGGGCCAACGTATTATTATGATATTCGACCGATCGACAACCTTATTTTGAACAAGTTTCTCATTCATATGATACTAATGCTTTTACCCACTTGTTACATAAATACCTAACTATTGCTCGTAAAAATGCAATTTTACAGGAACAGTATAAACCACTATAATTAAGTTTCAAGTTTTTATGAGATTTTGGCAAAAACTTTTTAAATATTTTACTGTAATTGTCTAGCATATTGCGATTTTTATTAAATAATTCATCACCTAGAACTGTATAATCAATAAAATTATGTTTATTGATTGTAGGGAAGACGTTTTCTACATTTTCTTCTTTTCGTAAAAATAGCATTTAAGGTTTAATTCAAAATCAATCATAATAAAACGAAAAAAATCAGAAAGAGAAGAAAACACATCGGTCAAAGGTTATTTCGACAGAACTTCCCTTACCCCTGAAATACAACCCAACAAATCCCGCTTCTTTGAAAAATTATACAAAGTTAAAACCAGTGGCGTAAATAGCACTTCAGCTTCTTCACTTTTTCTATTTTCCATTTTCCAATTTTTGAATTTTTCAATTTTTCAATCAAAAATTTTTAAATTTTCGTGTTGCAATTTTTCGTTTCGGTTTTTTATTTTCTTTATTTTTACAATTTTTCGATCTTCCGATTTTATAATTTTTTGTTTTTTCAATTTCAATTTTTCGTTTCTTCAATTTTTCGATTTGCAATTTTTTATTTTTTTGTTCCTTCCGTTTTACGATATGTAACTTGCCGAGTTTTCATTTAAAAATTGTTCAGTTTTTCGATTTTCCATCTTTTACATATTTCAGTTTTTAAATTTTGCAATTTTTTCGATTTGCAATTTTTTCGATTTGCAATTTCACGAGTTTTCAATTTTTAATTTTTCATTTCGGTATATTTTCTTTATTTTTTCAATTTTTCGGTTTTTCAGTGTTATAATTTTATAATTTTTCTTTTATTCAACGTAAAGTTTTCAAATTTTTGGATTTTTCAATTTTTCGATTTACAATTTTTGGGTTCTCCAACTTTAGTTTTTCATTTCTTCAATTTTAGATTTACAGTTTTTCTAGTTTTCATTTTAAAGATGTAGTAATAAGTAAATATTATTTAAATATAATTTTTTAAATTATACGATTTAAGAATTTATCCACTTTTCAGTTACTGCATTTTAAAACTTTTTCACTTATTCGATTTTCGATTTTTAATTTTTGAATTTCTCGAAACTGAATTTTTCGGTTTTTCACTATTTCAAAGTGACAGTTTTTCCACTTTCCAATTTTGACGATTGTATAATTTTTCGATTTGTTGGTTTTTGGATTTTGAAATTTTTTTATTCGATTCGTTTTTTTTTTGTAATTTTTCGATTCATTAATTTTTTTCAATTTGTGAGGTTTTTCGATTTTTAGTTTTTCACTATTTCGTTTCTTCAGTTGTTCTATTTGCAATTTTTCCACATTTTCAATTTTGCAACTTCTCGTTTTTTTCAGTTTTTCGATTTTTCAACTTTTAGAAATTTCAGTTTTTAGATTTTGCAATTTCACAAGTTTTCAATTTTTAATTTTTCAGTATACCAATTTTTCAATTTTTCTTTTCTGCAAGTTTTTGAATTTGCAATTTTTCGTTTCGATTTTTCATTATTTTTTGAATTTTTCGGTTTTTCAGTTTTATAATTTTTCTTTTCTTCAATGTGAAGTTTCCCAGTTTTTGGATTTTTGAATTTATCGATTTACAATTTTTCAAATTTTTGTTTTTCATTTCTTCGATTTTTGAATTGCAATTTTTCTAGTTTTCGTTTTAAAGATGTAGTAATAATTTTTTTTTTTTTTTAATTTTACGATTTGAAAATTTTTCCACTTTTCAATTACTGGATTTTAAAATTTTTTACTTACTCGATTTTTCGATTTTTATTATATTGATTTTTAATTTTTCAATTTCTCAATACTGACTTTTTCGGTTTTTTGCTATTTCAAGGTGGCAGTTTTTCTACTTTCCAATTTTGACGATTTAATAATTTTTCGATTTGTCAGTTTTTGGGTTTTGGAATTTTTTGATTCGATTGGTTTTTTGTTTCCAATTTTTCGTTTCTTCAGTTGTTGTATCTGCAATTTTTGATTTTTCACTTTTTCGATTTTGCAATTTCTCGTTCTTTTCAGTTTTTCGCTTTTTCAATTGTTTTAATTTTTTTAATATTTCGTTTCAATTTTAGATTTTTCAACTTTTCAATTACTGGATTTTAAAATTTTTTACTTACTCGATTTTTCGATTTTTATTGTATTGATTTATAATTTCTGAATTTCTCATTACTGACTTTTTCAGTTTTTTAATATTTCAAGGTGGCAGTTTTTCTACTTTCCAATTTTGACGATTCAATAATTTTTCGATTTGTCAGTTTTTGGGTTTTGGAATTTTTTGATTCGATTGGTTTTTTGTTTCCAATTTTTCGATTCATTAATTTTCTTCATTTTTTGAGATTTTTCGATTTTTAGTTTTTCAATGTTTCAATGTTTCGTTTCTTCAATTGTTGTATCTGCAATTTTTGATTCTCCACTTTTTCGACTTTGCAATTTCTCGTTTTTTTTTCAGTTTTTCGCTGTTTCAATTGTTTTCATTTATTTAATATTTCGATTTAATTTTAGATTTT